TTGTGTCCCTTCTTTTCTTTTCTTCTAACATCTGAAGTTCCCACTCTGCTCTGGGAAGAACCAAATATTCGTTTATTCAAATTCAATTTTGCATTGATTTATTCAGAGTACTGCACGTTTACATTTTTATGTGAACCCATCTAACTCCAATGACATCACTGAAGCTATACTACCTAACATCAGCTGAAGCTTAACTTCCTTGAGCAGGAAATTCCAATGAGTAGAACTCCAGAAGGACAGCTATAACTGTTGAATCTTTTGCTTCTTTCCACATTATAAAAGTTAAAGGGTTATCTTGTTTAGTACTCAATGCACTCTCATCTGCATCTTTTCCTCAGTACTCTTTGCACATGGATTTGGATGACTGAAATAACCCCAGCATGTAGTAACTCCTGTGTTTCACCTTCTCTTAACTCAGACTCCTACACATAAATCCTACATTTTGCAAGATTTCAGTAAACTCAAAGAGCACATTGTCTTCTCCAGTGAGATGAAGGCAGTATTTTCCTGCCTTCTAAAGCTGTTCTGAGAGTAAATATAATAAACAGGTTAAGTTTGCAGATAATAAGATATAATGTTATTTAAATGTCTATGCTATAATGCAGAGGTACGAGTAAAGTTCAAAATGTCTTAGTATAGTAATGAATAAATAAAATGAGTACTCCAATAGCATGGCCAAATTCAAGTGATTACAAAAACATTGTCCCATTTGTATGTTGGACCACAGTTGTGCTGTCTGTAGTTACATGCTCTAATTAAAAAGGTTTGTCAGCATAAGGAAAAAATACTGATAGAACATCCAACAAAACATTATTTTTAATTGTAATTGAATAACAATGACAAAGGCTGGGTCTACATCACTGAATTTTTCTGATAGAGAATATTATGCCATATTCACAGGCCAAATGGTAGAGGCTGGCTCGTCTTTTTAGGACCTAAATCTCTCTGTGGTTGACCATTCAGATGGTCATACTGTACAGTTCTTGGCCCAGCTACCTTCAGTGCTCAGCTCTGTGCTATTAAGTGAGCACTGGGGTTTTATCCATGAACTTTTTAATTATTTCACTATGCCTGAAATAGAGCATAGTTATCAGAATTAGGTTTTTGTAGTATCATGTTGATAGTAGGTGTTGTGTGGTCTAGGGTATTTGCCCGAGGGCAGGTTAGGAGTGCAATGTGGCATGATATGATGTATGACAGTATACAAACAACAGTGTAACCTCTGTAAGGTAGACAAAGGCCGATCTGAAATCTGGCTTATTGCTTGTGAAATCTGATCCTTATTGCTTGTTCAGAGAGATCACTATTGTGTCCCATAAGGAAACTGTTCAGTCTATAGAAGACCCAGCAATAAGGCGCCATGCATGCACTGTTGTTGTGGTTTAACCCCAGTAGGCAGCTGAGCATCATCCAGCTGCTCAGCCACTGCCCCCCTCAGTGGGATGAGAGAAGAATCAGAAGGGCAAAAGTGCAAAAACTCAGGAGGAGATGAAGACAGACTAATAATTATAAAAGGAGAGGGAAAAGAGAGGAAAGAAGGTGGAGAAAGGGAACAAACCCAAGAAAAACGAGTGATGCAAAAGAAAGAAACTGCTCACCAGATACTTACTGATGCTTAGCCACTTCCTGAAGCAACAGCAGCCCCTGCTAATCTCCCCTCCCCAGTTTTACTGCTAAGCATAGCGTCATATGGTGTGGAATATTCCCTTGGTCAGCTGGGGTCAGTTGTCCTGGTTGTGTGCCCTCCCAACTCCTGATGCACCCCTAGCCTGCTCACTGGTGAGTCAGACTGAATAACAGAAAAGGTGTACAAGCACTGCTCAGCAACAACTAAGACATCCCTGGGTTATCAACACTGTTTTCTTTACAAATTGAAATCATAACAAAAAATATAAACTACTTTGAAGAAAATCAACACTATCCAACACCAAAACTAGTATAACTGTGAAAAGTCAGAGTATCAGGACCCATTCATGTCTCTTTCTGGTCTTGTATATGAACACAAGAGAAATGCAAAAGTTAGGACACAAAATAAGATTCTTGGATACTTCATGTCCTCCTTAAATCTAAATGTACTGTACATTCTTCCTTAATTTATCTGTTTAAATATCTGATTTTGGGAGTAAATTGTAAAGATATTTTTTGTGGCAAAAGTGACATAAAATGACCTTTAAAGAAAAAAATAAATTTTAAAAATCAAAAATTTCTGTTTTCATGTATATTAGTAGTTGAGTACTTAAATATTTAACAGTGCATAATATGTAGTACTGTCCTGGGTTCAGCAGTAGCAGTCGTTTTTCCCCTTCTTGGTAGCTGGTGCAGTGCAGTGTTTTGACTTTCAGCTCGGGAACAGAGCTGATAGTGATGTTTAGGTTTGGCCAAGGACTTTGTGAGCCTCATGCTCTGCCAGGGAGGAGGGGGAGCCAGGAGGAAGCAGAGACAGGACACCTGACCCAAACTGACCAAAGAGGTATTCCATACCACAGCACGTCATGCCCAGGATGTAACTGGGAGTTAGCCGGAAGGGCTGGGAGACTGCAGGGTTGGAGGAGGTATTGGTCAGAGCTTGGTCGGGCTGGGGGGGCAAGTTATCGGTCGGCTGGTGGTGAGGTGTTGTATTCTCTTCCCTTGTTATTTCCTTTATCATTATTATCACTGGTGGTAGCAGTAGTGATTTGTGTTATACCTTAGTTACTAAACTGTTCTTATCTCAACCTGTGGGAGTTGCATTCTTTTCGATTCTCCTCTCCATCCCTCCGAGAGCAGGGGGAGGGCAAGAAAGGGGGGGAAGTGAGCGAACGAATTACCTGACTGGGTTTAAACCACGACAGTTCTTTTTGGCGCCCAACGTGGGGCACGAAGGGTTGAGATAACAACAGATCTGACCAGATTAATAGTCACTCATCACAATGATGATTTATTGGCTCTCAGAGTTGTTTCGCTTGATCTCACAGCTTCAGAATGTTGTAACTTACGTAGAGCCGGTATTTGCTGTGATAGTGTTTATCAAGTATGGGGCTTGGGCTAAGGTTCTTGTCTCACTGTGCTTTATGGCAATGGCTTGTAATACAGGCGGGCTCCAGCAGCAGGGCGGGACGGACGTGGCCGTGGACTTGTACCAGGCCGTCCGGCTGCTCTTCACCGTCCTGGCCCTCACCCTACTCTCCATCTTCGTGAGGCTGCGGGGAGCTGAGGGGGAGCGGCCCCGGGAGCCGGCGGCAGCCGAACCGGCCCAGGAGAGCGGCCCCGGGGACCAAGCGGCGGCGGGAGCGGGGCCGGAGGCCGCGAGGGGACGGCTGCCGGTGGAGGAGGTCGGGGCGGTCGAGGAGCAGAAGGAGGCGGCTGCCGAGCAGCGGGAGAAGGCGGCGGAGGAGCCGAGCCCCGCGGAGGAGCCGAGCCCCGCGGCCGAGCCCAGCCCCGCGGCCGAGCCCAGCCCCGCGACGGCCGAGAGCGTTTCCCGGAAGCCGCCCGCCGAGCCCCAGGAGGATGCAGGAGACCACGCAGCATTTCCCGGCAAGGCAGAGGAGGAAGAGCTGGACTCAGGAAAAGAGAAGCTGGCGGTGGCAGAGCCGGCAAGCACAGCGGCTACACCAGCCCCAGTGACAAGCACAGCGGCTACACCAGCCCCAGTGACAAGCACAGCGGCTACACCAGCCCCAGTGACAAGTACAGCAGCTACACCAGCCCCAGTGACAAGCACAGCAGCATCAACTGAGAGTTCTGAAGGTTTTGAATGGCCTTTGGGTATCCTTGGGACCTGCCTGCTGATCGTGATGGGGATCAGCATGTTGGCACACACACAGGCTGTGTTCTACCCACAACCATTTTGCCTGATCTCAAAAGTTAAGCAGAGTCAGGTTTGGGTCTTGTCTGGGGTTAGACGACAATATAGGGGGACCAAGAGGTTTTCCCCAAGGCTGGACAGTCATGAGTGGCAGGGTGTGTGGGACAGTATGGGCAAGTATCTAGTCCACTGGGCCCCTCCAGTGCTTTGGAAGCGTCGGAGATGGAAGGCAGCTGTATGGAGTCCCCAGCAACAAGCTGCAGAAACTGCTTAAGGGGACAGTGAATTATTTTAAGCCTGGTGGGCCCATGGCACTTCAGGCCATCAGAGCAGAGGTGCAACACAGAGATGGACTCATGATCGAGGGGTGGACTTAGCAATGGACAATATTGCCCAGGTTATTCACAAGTGTGAGCACTGCACACAGTCTCTCCTGCTCTGGAAGATTGTTACAAGAGATGGAGCCTGACATCATGGACCAGATGGACTCAGCAGCTTTATAGGGACTGGTCCGTGCACTAAGATAAGAGTGCACCGAGATAAGAGTGATGGTATATTGAAAATGTGGGATCTGAGCATGACGTGAATGGTATGGAATAAGGGGTGGATAATGTCCTGGGTTCAGCAGTAGCAGTCGTTTTTCCCCTTCTTGGTAGCTGGTGCAGTGCAGTGTTTTGACTTTCAGCTCGGGAACAGAGCTGATAGTGATGTTTAGGTTTGGCCAAGGACTTTGTGAGCCTCATGCTCTGCCAGGGAGGAGGGGGAGCCAGGAGGAAGCAGAGACAGGACACCTGACCCAAACTGACCAAAGAGGTATTCCATACCACAGCACGTCATGCCCAGGATGTAACTGGGAGTTAGCCGGAAGGGCTGGGAGACTGCAGGGTTGGAGGAGGTATTGGTCAGAGCTTGGTCGGGCTGGGGGGGCAAGTTATCGGTCGGCTGGTGGTGAGGTGTTGTATTCTCTTCCCTTGTTATTTCCTTTATCATTATTATCACTGGTGGTAGCAGTAGTGATTTGTGTTATACCTTAGTTACTAAACTGTTCTTATCTCAACCTGTGGGAGTTGCATTCTTTTCGATTCTCCTCTCCATCCCTCCGAGAGCAGGGGGAGGGCAAGAAAGGGGGGGAAGTGAGCGAACGAATTACCTGACTGGGTTTAAACCACGACAAGTACTTATAATTTGAAACGATAATCAATCTACGTAAGGTATTTTAATAGGCAGGTAGTTATAATGGCTCATTTCTCTTCAAAGGCAATGAAAATATAGTCATCACAATGAAGACAGTATAAAGATGTGAAATAATTTTACCTCCTGCTCTGTTGTCCATTTATTTCAAGAAAGTCATAGAAATAACATAAAAAGTGTTAGCTTTGTATCACAAATATGTGCTATGTTAATATATTGATTTTATTCCAGAGTGCCTAAATCTTGACTTGCACAGGCTACACCAATTCACACAAATGTAAAGCTCACTTCCCACAGCTGTCAGCAAAAATTGGATATGCCTTATCTGAGGTAATATAGGTCAGGACCAATCTAAGCAGGCAGCAGTGGACAGCAGTGGATAGGCCAAGGGCTGAGCAGGATTGATCAGCACCACAGAGAGGGCATCACTGGGATTGTCCCTGGAGACCTAGATTCTCACTGCCAGAGGTGAAGCAAGAGACAGACGAGGAGATGTGTGACTGCGATCAGCAACCACCTCAAACACAGCAATCTCTTGTCCAAGCCATCAGCCTGCTTTGCATGAGCTTCATGTTAGTGTCATACCCAGCACAAATTTGTTCTTCAGACCTAGATATTCCTCCCTGTGCTGCTGCATAGAAATTTTTCCAGGACTTATTTCCTTCCCAAAGTATTAAAACCATAGCAAACTGGTAATGTTTTCATTGTCTGTAATATTAGTAGAAGCAACATTAGCTATGTTAGCAGTATTAAGTAGCTCAAGTTAGTATCTCCTAATTCCAGAGCCCTCACAGTAAACGTGGGAACAGGAAACATCTCAGTCCTGTGAGATTACTCCAGCTTTCAGAGTGCAGTATGTAGCCATTTCAGATTTCAGACAGCTGAAAGAGAAATGTTAATGCAACTTTGATGCTCCTCTGAAACTTGTTTTTGAAGGTCTTCCATTTCTTTTGCAAGAAAACTCAATAGGTTTATTTCTATGTAAACATCCATACTTTAACGGATGAGCTCTCCTGAGCTGCCTTTGACAACTGTCTCCAGAAACAGAACACTAAACTCTTGCAGTTACAAATCTAAGTGGAAGTCATTGTAGAAGATCAACTTTTGTGATATTTTTACTGTGCAACTTTAACCTTGCAACACAAGTTGCACAGATAGAATTCATTTCAGCAGTATTGTTTTGGATGTTTATGAGAGCACACTTGATCCCACAATAGATTATGATAGACACCAAAAAAGCTAAATCATGTTAGCTTAAGAAGGAGACAGTTTGTACCTTACAGTACAAATCACAAGGTCAGACTGAATTATCACTTGGATTCCAAAACTTCTCAAGCATATTTTTTCTAAAACAGCCTGCTACAGAAGACGACTTTTTTTTTCTCATGTGGAAGCCATGCTTTACATTTCTCAGTGCTTTCTTGTGAGATTCTACCTCTTGGAAAGACAGAACAGTCTTCTGAAGAAACTCTAAAGTGGGAGGGATGTCATTTTTAAAAAATATTTATAATGTAATACTATTAATTATATTTAATATTTTTACTAAATAATAACCTTTTAATAATTTTTAAATAAAATATTATCAAGTAAGATCATCTCTGGTCAGAGCAGTTTCTGATACATGTGAACAGAGAAATTGGTGATGAAAAATTACAAGATCTTTTTGAGAGTATGGATGCTTCTTACTTCTTTCAACTCCTTTTCACCTCTTTCACAAAACTTATTTTACACTGCTTTTTCTTAATTCGTGATCACTCCTACCTCCCCAAATGTGGTTTTCTTTTCTTTCTTTTGCTCTTCCTTTGAGTTTAATCCTTTTTTTCTCTGATACAAAAGCAGAGTGCCAAAAAACATTTACAAATGTACCTCTTTGCTTTTCTGACAGGGATTTAAGGAGAAATCCTCTGGACTACACTGACACTCAGTGTGAACATCCACCTCTTTTTTCTTTTTTTTTCTTTCTGTTCTCTCCTGTGTAACCGTTCTCTGTTACATGTTCCACTGCCCATCTCTAATGTATTGATCTCATGGGAAAGATGCCACCTGAGAAAATACCCTGATTAATTTCTGCTCCTTGCTGAACTGTATTTTATCCAGGGAGCTGAAATTTCACCTTTTAGCAGAAAAGGTAAGTAACTTTATGCAAAGTTTCTCCAGTTCCTCCTGTAGCTTTACCACTGCACAGCCAATCAGCTTTTAAGAAGGGTGGCATTAAAAGTAAGAATTAACAGTGGTTGAGATATTTCCAACATGATGATTTGTCATTCAAAACTTCTGCTTGGTGAAAAAAAAATCTAATGTTTGGTGAACAAATACCAAAAGCTAGGCAGATTTCCACCAGAAACCTTCTCATCCTCACATCAGTTCACCTGATACCTATGATCACCCCACACTCTCAGACACATGGTTGATCTCAGGACTGGGGACCCCACAGTTGATGGCTTACTCACAGACTGTGTCTTGACCTTACACACAGTCTGCAGGTAGTCTACGCCACTATTTTCTCAGTAGAAGTTGCAAATTTTTAGAAGTGGAACAATGACATGAAGAGATGTTTTATTTCTTAACTTGTGGGATTAGTAAACCGTTTTCAGTGAAAATTATTTACCAAAAAAACAGAGCATCTCTAAATGCTTGCAGATAATGTATATGAATCAGGGCATCTATTTAAATGAAAAGCCCCTTCAAAGCATTTCTGTGCAACAAGGTCTTATTTTATTTATTTATTTGATAAGTCCAGACAGCACCTTATGCATCATTCTCCAGCACTCTGTGTACTAGAGGTTTAACTAACTCAGGCAGTGATGGGTCTATACTGCATCTCCTGGGAGGCAATTTCACAAACCACAAGACTTCACACAGGAAAAAAAAGCATAAAATGCTCCCTCCAAGGCAACCTTTCACCCTGGCATATCGTCACTGCCTTACAGAATTCCCAAGAAGCTGAACTCATACCTTACTTAAGTAGGTGAAAATCTGATGGCAGAGGAGATGCAATCAGCTCCACAACATTTATACCATTTTAGTTCTGAGATGCACTCCTGTAATTGATATGCACTGAAGATAATGTATGGGTTACAGCGAGGAAAGGACAATCCTGCTTAGACTTTTTGTTCAGTTTTGGAAAGGATGTTTTTAAAACCAGAAGAGAAAAACAGAACAAGCCTTAACATTTGTAGTTGTAAACTGAAACACTCAACAAACAGGCAAGAATGTTTAGTCCACAAGAAAGAAGAGATTAAGAAGGATCCTTTCCTGAAGGGGTGGATCTTTGATTCTTGCTTCCTAACCAGGAATACTACAGAGATACTTACAGATATGAGGATATTAATGAAGTGGAAAATGATGTGAGGAAAAATGAGAGGAATCTGAAAGGCAGCCAAATAACACTGCCTACATATATCCCCCATAAGTACTGAACATCTGCAGGAGACACATATGTAAACGGCTTAGAGCCCTGGAATAGTTAGCAAGTTCTCCGTCTCAGTGCAGTGTATAGAATGGATAAATAAATAGTGGGCATATGTGGTATATATTCAGATGGTGCATTAGACTTTAAAATCTCTGTCTAACTGAATGCATTAGCCTGTATTTTCTGTTTATGTCTCTGGGATGCCATGGAAACACAGCACTGAATCCTAATGGGTCTCTCCTGGCAATAAATAAACAGTCTTTGTCTATTTATGTTTCAATTTCCTTCTTTTTCTTTTTTTTTTCATGTAATATACAATTTCAGAAGAAAACAGTCCTATCACCATACATTCTCTTTGGTTGAAAAGCGTGCTGAAAATAAATGCAAAATGCACCTTCTAGTGGCCACTGCAGCCTTCTATACAGCTCCTACTACCATCTGTAAGTAGAGAATGTAACCTATTTGTGTTGAACTTCCTTCTAAGGAAAAAATATGGCTTATATAATTAAACCTTGAGTCGGGGTTCTCTTAGTAAATGGTAGCCCAACCTAAAGAGCACTTAATATACTTGTTAAAATTGAAAGCTGTTCTTTTCTTTACAAGTCTAAGGGGCTGCAGCCAGTCCCTTTTTATATAGAGAGTAACAATGTTCACTGGCTTTAAACTGCTCCTCTAAAGCAATGGTGCACTATCACTTCCCGTGTTCCAGAGCTTATTAGAGCAAACTGAAGCAATCATCCCCTTCAGGCTAAAGCACAGCAGCAAGGTGAAACTCTAAGGACCAAGTGATAGAAATACTGAGTATCACAAGGCATCAGTTTGCCATCTGGCACCTGCTGTCCCTGTCTGAAATGAATAAAGTCGTTGAGAGGGGATGTTGTGCGGTAACGTGAGTAATAGAAAGACTAATAATTATCTATGTGGAGAAGTGGGCAGATGTAATTAGATTACTCAAATCTGAAGAGTCAGCTGAATCCAAAGGCAGTAACCTCAGCTGTGGAGGGCAGCCATATGGTTGCTCTCAAGATTTTGGGTCAGACTGAAATTCAACAGGACCTTTGTAAGTAATTTAGAAATGCATTGCAATGTGCTTGACTCCACATCTGTCAGGCAGTTCTTGGGCAGGACTGACAGCTGTACCAGGTATGCAGGTTTGGTGCAGTGCATGCTACGGTCCCTGTTGTAACAAGTCTGAGTAACAAGCTGGCTCCTGTGAGCCCTTCCAACTGCCCCAGCAGAGAGAGCAGGTCTTCACTGAAAAGGCTGCCAATCACTGAAACAGGCTGCCAAGATGAGTGGTTAAGTCCCCTTCCCTGGAGGTATTTAAGAGACTTGTAGAGGTGGCACTTAGGAACACAGTTTAGCGATGGACTTGGCAGTGCTAGGTTAACAGGCAGATGATCCTAAAAGTCTTTTCCAACCTAAATGATTCAATGATTCTGTGATTCTATAATTCTAAGAGGGAAGCAGTAAGAAGGGTCAATGTACTAAATGCCCTTAGGGTGTCACTCAGGTATAAGGCTGTCCACTATAAAGGTGAAACTGGGACAATTTGTAGCAACCTTGAGTCTCCAAAATACACAAGGGCTGATGATGAGCTGAGGCAGATCACCTGGGTGGTGCAACTGATGTTAGTATGAAAAAAATAGTGATAAATTACTGTGCAGGGGAAGAGGTGGTAAAGAAGTAGTCTTGAAAACTACAGGTGCAGCATGTGAATCTTGAAAACTTTCTCTCTTACCCTCCTCCCAAAGTGAGTATATGCAAGTAAAGTAAAATTCATGGTTTGCTTTCTGTTCCTGCATTTATTTTTTAATGCTTCTAGAGCAATGGAAACAGTTGTTTGTTCATACTCTGATTTTTACTTCTTTTTATTCTGACCAGCTGCCTACTATCTAATAAAGGAGCATCATGACAACTGAACAAGAAAATTAAGTAGTTAGGTGGATTTAACTCAGTCAGTTGCTCCAGCATTTTTAAGATCTTGATTGCACATCTTCTTTGGACGTGACATTATCCTAGAAGGTGTAGACTGTGAGGAATCTGTCATGCAGAGAATGATCATTTTCATCAACTGTCTTCCTCCTCTTTGTCAGTTATAGCACAGCTGCCTCCCCTGCTCCTGGTCAGCAAAGAGAGGAAGCAGATGCTTCCCCTGGGAAGCAACTTTCTATCTGAGGAATTGGCAGCAGTACAACAGCCCAGGACCAAAAAAGAAGCAGGGTGCAAGAGGATTTTGGACTTCACAGCTGGGCTTGAGTCAGAGACAAATGTCAAACAGAGGGACTCAGTGAGCCACACAGCATGAACTACTCTCAGTCCAGACATCTACAAATTCCAGTTAACCACTAGCAGACAATCCAGCTAATAAGGACTTCCCACACCTTAGTCATCTGGGAGAGACATAAAACAACACAACACAAATAAGACAAATTAATACTAAATTTTACAGTGTAACTGGTTAAAATATGGTACCTGGCTATAGCCACTTTCTGCTATTTTGCCTCCCTGGTAAGATACAAATTTTACAGCAGTGACACATCCAAGTGGTAGGGTCAAGAGACCCTGCTGTTTAAGGCACTTCCTTTCAGCTAGCAGAGATCTGCCAAAAATTGCCAGTATAATAGCAATTGTTCACAAATCACTCAAGTAAGTGTCAGAGGCTGCTTCCTTCAGCGCCTGTGTAGCATTAGATTATGTGAACCTCTATATGACACGGTAGTCTGTATTGTGCTTTTGCCAGATGTCTTTTAAATGTGCAGCTCTTCACACTTTGTATAAGTGGTGAAGACCATTACAGAACAGCTAAAACAATTACAGAAGATTCCAGGTATTTTGGACTAGAGCCATCTGCGAATGTACAAAGAAGGCATGACCTAATCCCATCTTCTTTGGCAGAGGGAGTCAAATAGCAACTCCATCAGCTGAGGCCAACAGAGTCAAAAATATTCTTTTTCAGGGTTGGGGGGAGCAAGGGGGGGATGATGACAGAGAGGGAGAGATTGAGAGTTAGAGAGCTACACAAAGCTATTACAGTGCCTCAAGCACTGTGGTAGGTTGACCCTGGCTAGACAGACCCTCAGCTGGACGTGGGACAGAAAACCATAATGGAAAGCTCCTGGGTCAAGATAAAAGTGGGAACAAATCAGTCACCAATTACCATCATAGGCAAAACAGACTTGACTTGGGGTAAAAATTAATTTACTACTAATCAAATCAGAGTAGGATAATGAGAAGTCAAACTAAAACTTAAAAATACCTTCCCCCTTCTTTTTGCTTCTTTCTGGGTTCATCTTCATCCCCACATTCTCCACCTCCTTCTTCCCAAGCAACGTAGGGTGATAGGGAATAGGGATGGTGGTCAGCTCACACACACATTGTCCCTGCCACTCATTCCTCCTCAGTGGAAGATTCCTCACACTCTTCCCCTGCTCCAGAATGGAGCCTCTTCCAAAGGAGGCAGTCCTCCATGAAATTCTCCAATGTAAGTCCTTCCCATGGTATGCAGTTCTTCACAAACTGCTCCAGTGTGTGTCCTTGCCACAGGGGGCAGTCCTTCAGGAACAGGCTGCTCCAGCACAGGTACCCTACAGGGTTTGAAGTCCTGCGGCAAACCTGCTGCAGCATGGGTTCCTCTCTCCACGGGGTCACAGGTCTTTCCAGGAGCCTGCTCCAGCAACCCACGGGGTCACAGCCTCCTTTGAATGCATGTGCCTGCTCCAATGTGGCATCCTTCATGGGCTGCAGGTGGATATCTGCTCCACTGTGGACCAGCATGGGCGGCTGAGGCAGGAAGACAGGCATCCTCACCATGGTGTGCATCACAGGCTGCAGGAGAATCTCTGCTCTGGTGCCTGGAACACATCCTACCCTCCTTCTGTACAGACCCTAGTGTCTGCAGAGCTGTTTTTCTCACATATTCTCACTCCTCTCTTCTAGCTTCTGCTGGTGGTGTGTATTTTGTCCCCCCCTTCTCAAGTATGTTATCCTGGGGGCACTAGCACTGCCTGCCCTGAAGTGCTCAGCCTTGGCTGGTGCAGGTACCTCTCAGAGGGGGCTGGCATTGGCCCTATTGGACATGGGGGAAGCTTCTACAAGCTTCTCACAGAAGCCATCCCTGTAGTCCTTCTACCAAAACTTTGCCACAAAAACCCAACACAAGCACTTGTTATGCATTTGCATGTAGCTCTATTGTATTACAAAGAATATGACATTTTGTCTGCATTTGCCATCTACCCCTTTTTTATGAATATGTCCAGTCCAAGTTGTTTGATATTTTAAAGCAGTGGCTCCAAATTTAACTCAGATTACATTAACATTCAATGTGCAGCATGACGAAACATGATCTCAGTGTTCTGATGACAAATGCTGCAGAAGGATAACATCACCAACTTAACGTTTACTGGTAAATGACATTTGTAATCGCTTGGTTTCTGGGTGCTTCCCAGCTCTTAGGGAAAGCTTGACTTTTGGTTTAAAAACGTGAACTGAATTCTGAATTTTCATAAGTGTTTGCTACCTACATAGTGAAACTTTGGGATGTTTAAAATGAAGAACCTCATCCCAGTTTTGTGACTTGCATAGTATCTGAAGAGCTTACCACCTATGTATTTGACAGAATTAGTCTCTCATCTTCCTGCAGAGTCCTGTGGCTTCTAACTCAGTAACATGTGAAAGCAGACAAACCTCTTCTTTGCTATCAGCATAGATGAGTGAACTTTATATCAGGTGCATGTGCCTCATTGTAATCCCTAGGGGATCTTACACTTCAGTGAAATGATTCCTCTGATCATGCCCTTTTTCCATGCCCTCAGTGATGCTTATAAAGACCTGGACATGTCTTCCAAAAATTCTGTCAGGCAACATGTTCGTTTCATGCAAACACCAACTAACCACATCATTCACACATTCAGATCTATCTTTTCCCTATGTACTTGCTTCTCTACCACTTCGAGTTCCAACAGTTTTCCTCTCCATGTCCCACCCAATCATACCCATAGCCCACAGACTAGCACGATATTTTTTATGTCAGGAAAAATGATTAATGTTGGATTTTTTTCTCTAGTGGGATATTTTTTCTGATACTCTGTGTTTAATGCCTCTGACATACAGGGACAAATCTGTCACACAAGATCATCAGGAGCTTCTGAAGCTATATGTAGTGCTTGCCAGAACTTTCTGGTGCTGATGACTCATATCTGTGAAACGGAGATGCAACAAGGGCCAAAGATAGGACATTTATTCCTCTGCTTAATTTAGTTAGCCATCAACTGTAGTTGC